GGCTGCTCCGCAACCGCCCAGCCTCTGGGAGGATGCTAGAATAAACCCACCCCATCGTCACCTCTGGGAGCGGGGATGGCAGTTGTATCGCCCTCCAGCTGCTCAGCACCCAGTCGTGGTCCTTCCCTGCTGCTTTTGTCCCCATCACCCCCTGCATGTGCCAGCAGGGACCCCCCGGCACCCCTGGCCAGGGGGAGAGCCGGGCCAGCTGAGCCCACTGGGGTCCCTGTGGGGAGGAGGCGGCCGCAGGGTGAAGGACGCGCAGGAATGTCATTACCCAGCGCCTGGGCGAGTTAGTGGGAAGCGGAAAGCCAGGCTGGGGAATTGGTTTCCATTAGGGCAGCAGAAAGCTAATTTGGCGGCTGCGGCTGCTGCATGCCAGGGGCTGTTAACCCCCTGCACCCCGGCCCAGGCTCAGCCTGCGCTGCTGGGCTTCTCCCTCACCCCTGCTTGCCTCCTGCCACCAGGGTGGCTGTGCTTGCCTGAGGGCTGGCCACAGAGCCAGCTGTGCTCCTTGCCGAGGGCCATGAACAGGCCGTGGCACTGGTGGAGTGCTGGTGCTTGATGGAGATGCCCGTTAGGGTGTCCTTCATCTGTCCTGGCTGTCCCTGCTGATGCTTGAAGCCAGGGAGAGCCACAACTGATCCCTCCTGCCTTGTGGGGAGACTCACTTGGCCCTGGGGGCACCTTGAGCTGTCCCCATGGTGCAGGGGTGCCACTGCCCTGGCATGAGGTTGCTGCATGGCATCTCTCCTTTTACCCTTGCCGTGCTGTGACATGAGCGTGGTGCTGGCTACTTCAGCCACCCTGCAGCTCCCCGGGCTCAGCTGGGCATCGGTGCGCGAGGGCTGCAGCCTCAGCAAGTGCTAATGCACCGTATTGATCCGCCGGAGCCTCTGAGTGGGAGGTGTCGGAGGCGGTGGGGGTGGCTGCCCTTTGGCTGCATTTGAGCATGTTTCCCCCGGTCAGTGCTGCCGGGAGTGTGGGGTCCGCTGGGCTGGGTGCCCAGCTGTGCCCTAGGCTCATCCCTACAGGGGACCCCCCCGCCCCAGTCACCCATGGGGCCTGTCCCAGGGGCTCTGACATCACCACTGCCATCATCCTCTGCACCGGGCACAGCGTCCCTGCAGTCCATGGGGCACGCGGTGCCACGCAGCCAGCTGTGCAGCGCCTGGGGACCCGGCGTCCTCATGACTGCAGGCAGGGTCATGCCCAGGGAGGCCCAGCTGGCTCTGGGGTGGGGTGATGGGGGGCAGAGGCCTCACTGTGTCCCTTTGCAGGGCCGAGCGTGCGACAGCGGTGCTGCTGGCAGACCCCTGCTTCCAGCTGCGCTCCATCCAGTACCTGCTGGGCCACGCTGAGCCCTCAGCCCTGGCGGCTGCCGCCCCGGCCACAGAGAAGCGCCATTTCTCCCTGCACACCTGTAAGTGTCGTCAGCATGCGGGGAGCTCGCCTGTGCTCACCACCAGTCCCCGGCCATGGCTGGGATGGGGGGACAGGACTGCTGGTGTCTGTGTCCCCTACAACATGTCCCAGCCCCCTTAGCCCTGGGGATGGGGTCCATGGCTCCCCCACCATCCCGCAGTGGTGGCACTTGGGATGGGGCTATCCAGTGCCTCCTTTTGGCAGCAGTTTTGTCCCCTCACAGCACCCAGTGTCCAGCTTGCTGTCCCCAGCATGGGGATCCCTGTCCTGCCTGCTCCCCGAGGGTAGCTGCAGCCCCCTCCGTGCACCGCGCAGCACCCTCGGGACAGCCCGAGGGTCACATTCCCCCCACGCACACCCAGTTTGTCCCCACAGACACAGAGTACATCAGTACTGAGGAGCTGGCGAAGGTGGACAAGATGCTGAGCCACCTGAGCGAGGAGTCCAAGCAGGCAGCTGCCACCACACTGGTGAGTCCTCCCAGCCTGGTCCTCATGCTTGGCAGCAGCCCTGGATCCTGGCACAGCTGCCCTGGGACACGGGGTTCTTGCTGCCGCTGCTAACCACCTGGTGATCCCCACAGCCCACCAGCGAGGAAGACCTGTGCCCCATCTGCTATGCACACCCCATCTCGGCCATCTTCAGACCCTGCTCCCACAAGTCGTGCAAGTGAGTAGCTCGCGTGCGCGGCCCGCACCAGGGCGACTGCCAGCCCCTGGCCCCCCACGCCATGTCGGGGGAGCTCACAGCCTTTCCTCCTGTCCCAGAGCCTGCATCAACCAGCACCTGATGAACAACAAGGACTGCTTCTTCTGCAAGGCCACCATCACAGGGGTGGATGACTTCACCAAGCCAGCCAGCTCATAGCGCCCAGCCCTGCACCGTGCACTCCTCCAGCTGAGTGGGGCAGCCCCCCCCCAGCCCTGCACGCTGGCTTCTCCCCTAATGCAGGGCCAGGACCCAGCACCAGACTGCTGTGTGGGGCAAGGGGCTGCAGGGAGGGGGTAGCTGGCAGGGGCGGGGGGGG